TGTACAGTGCCTTGTCTTAGAACCATGTGGGCGTTGCTTTGCTGTGATGTGTATTGTGTGAACTCTTTTCCCAATAAAAGGCAGCGAGAGGAGGCCGTCGTCGGGGTCATTCGTAATGAGATTCGAAGTGCGTTTCTGAGATACCGACGAGGCCTCCCTTGCAAATAAACCGATCGATCGCTGACTGTCTTGTTTTCTTCATGATGAATAAGTCTCTAAACCAGCAGGGCTTGTGGAAACACAGACCCAACATTTATTTGGTCCTTCGGAACCGGAGCCCAACGCATCGCATCCACCGAGGAGAGGGAGATGACGCCGCCGCAGTCTGCTAGCAGCCGAAAGCCCTGGTGCTTAACTTTGTCACCAGGCCGGTCGGGATGGATGGCAATTGACGGGATCCAGAGATTCTTCCCATGAACGGAAACAACACGAACAGTGAGTACAGAAGGCCTTAGAGAGCGGCTACGTGACCGTGCGGTTAAACGCAGTTACGTGAGTGTGCAAGCTGTGCGTGTAGACGCAAACTGCCTGGCTTCTCCGCCAGTGTTTTTGTTTTTGTTTTTAAATCTTTTTGATTTATTTAAGGAGGTAGGTTTGGCTTCTCCGCCAGTGTTTTAAGGAGGGTTAAGATGGTTTCTCCACCGAAAGGAGGATAGAGCTCTAAAAAATTAAAAAAGGTTTTTCTCCGCAGTTAAGGGCGTTGAGTGTTTGGTTTCTCCTCCAATAGTAAGGAGGATAGAGCTCGCCACGGTAAGGGAGGTTATAGGCCTAAAGAGAGTGTGAATGAGCGTATGTGTGTGTGAGTGCCAGTAAGTGAACGCAGCAGCACAGAAGGAAACCTAAGTCATGTTAACGGAATTACACGTAGCCTGGGTTTTGGGGTAAGGCGCGTTGCATGCCGCAAAATTAAAAGAAGTCTACCTTGAAAGAGGATGAAATACACTGCAAAGTATTTATTGGGCAGCATGTGGTGTGTGGATCGTTGACGAATGAAGTGAAATTGTGCTCTAAGCAGAAGTGAGTGTGTCTGACATCACGGTGTGTGTGAAAAGGTATCCAGCTGGGGCAGACATGATTCTGCAGGTCACCTGCCCAGTGGACAAAAGAAATAAAATAGTTGTGTGGATGAATGATAGCATGAAGAGTGTTTGGTGTTTCTCAGCCTGAAACAACTGCAATGCTATTTTCTGTTTTGGAGAAAAGGACAGTTTAAAAAAAAAATCAGAGAGAGAGATGTATGTTGTTTAAGCAGTGATGAGAATAATGGAAATGTGATGAGAGAGGAACACAAAAACATACAGAAAATGCATTAACTATACTAACCCTACATGCATATACACAATAAATGATACTCATGAAGACCAGACAGCATCTTAAGCACGAGATTCTGTTAGTCATCTTGTCCAAGTCACTAGTAAGATGAAAGTGATATATAGACTAGTGGACTGAAAATTATAGGAGGACAGATGGTTGCATCATAGAGGAGGAAACAGAATGCTGATGAGAGGTCTTAAATGAGTGAGCTGAGTGAGCTGATTGTGAGTTTCTGGTGTGTGAAGAAGTTGTAACATGGCACACATTTAGTTACATGAGAAGAAACTTATTATGTGATGAGACAGCAGGGTTATGCTGTATGTTGTGTGTATGGCTGATTTGGATGAATGTTTGAGATTAAACTGGCTGTTGATTTGTCTTTTGTTACTAAGTTGAGCCTGCCAATTGGGTTGTTACGATTTATTCCCCTGAATTGAAGAACACGTGTCATGACTTAAACAAGGCCTTTCTTTCCTTTGCTTTCCTTTATTTTCTTTTTATTTTGTTACTCTCATGGTGCACTAAAGTTTTGTTTGATAATTTTTCTGTCATCTAAGCAGATCTGAACGTTTGAATAGGAAGAACTATACAACATGTTGTTGCGAACAGTTGCAAAGTGAGTTTCTCCAAAATTAAAATGGGCTGGGGAGAAAGCCACTTATTTGGGACAATTAGAAAGTAAGTTCCTGTCCAAAAGGATTCAACGAGGAAATCCAGTCTAAATTCTTTTTCTTTTTGAAATGTCGTCGTTTTTCTGAGGGTGGAAACAAAATGCGACAATAATTTCCACTATCAGCAAAAGAAAGAATCACTGAGTGAATGAGTGAGAATTTAAAAAATGGGGAACTGACTGACTGGTTAAAGCTGACAAGACTGACTGCCTTAACACCATTGTGTGAAGCTAACCCCCACCTGACAAAGGTGTGGCTGTATCACTGTGTGTGTCTCTGTTGCAGGAGCAGAAGGAGACCACAGGAGGAAACTTGGGTGACATGACTATGTGAACTCTGCAAATTTAACCTTTTTAGTTTTCATTTTCTGTGTCTGTGAATTTACCATGGGTGTGTTATTCACTACCGTGTGTTGCTCACAGAGATTACTGTGAGAAAGAGTGTATACACCTGTGCAGCGCTAACATTTACATTTCTTTATTACAGCAGATGGTTAATCATGTGATTTGATCATGTGATTTACAGCAGGACACAACTTAATGATGTTTTTCTACCACAGGATTACTGAGATTTTGTGTGAAGAAAACTGTGGTTACAGGCTATATGTTGATGATGAAATTACACTGTGTTGTTGAGAAAATGTTGGAGAAAATGTGAATGTTACAGGGGAGAAGTGAATACAGTGTGATACTGTATTTGAAACCAGTGTTGCATCTTTTTACAGCAGAGTGTTAACTTTATGACTTTTCACAGCTCCTCTGGAATCTGGATGGCCGACACCTGACAACCAGGATGATCCGTGTGTTTGGCTAATGTTTGTTTTTCTTTAAGAGTGTTTGAAGAGGATTCAGCACAGACAGACAAGTGACAATTGAACAGATGTGCAGTGGTTACTGAATAGTTAAATAGGGCTCATTATCTGACCACACTGTTGGGCTCATGGTGAGTGACAAACTTAAGGGACGTCACTGATTACAATGTGGAATGACGTTGAGATGTTAAATGATTTGGAGCAAAGTATGGAAAAAGCAGGAGTTTAAGGAGTTTAGAATAAACCTGCAATGATCCTTGTCTCTGTGATGCTGAATACTTTATTACACTTACGAGCTGCAGTTAGTTGCAAATGTGAAGTTTTAACTTAAAGACTTTGTCTTCTAGGATACAGGCTCTGGGTGGAGCTGGGAGTTAAACAAGCTAAACATTTAATTGCTGACTAATGTTTTTACACAAGGTTACAGGTGGAGTATGGCTGCTCCAAGGGACAAACCCTGGAGATTGTTTTAGGGAGACTGTGCAACATTCTTGTACATGTCTCATTGGGGAGTTGACACGTAGTGAAAGCCGTGTGGCGAGAGGAGTGTCGTTTTTTTTAAATTTGTAGATGTCGTGAGGTGCCAGGACGAGAAGGAGTGGCTGAGGGGATTGTCCACAAGATGGGAGCTGAGGCCAGGAGAGAGTCTTCAGGAGGATCAGAGACAGCACAGAAGACATCGCACAGAGAGCTGTGCTACTGGGCTTTCAGGAGATCATCGGGAGGAGTCTTTGCACAGCAAACAACCATAAGGAGTGGAAGAGTTTCGACGTTGACGTTGAGGAAGACAACTAAGGTGTACGACGTGCTCTGCCTTACATCGTCTGCAGACTAAATTTACATTTCTGTCACCTACAAGACACTTGTCTTTAATGTAACGCTTACTCTCACAACCACACATATTACCATAAAATGGTGCACAATTCTGACTCCATCAACCCTTTTGCCAACAAAAGAAGAGGGCACTTCTCATGAGTGTAGAGAGCACTTGGAGAAGGAGTGTAAGCCAAGGGATGACTCAATAGCTGTGGCACTCGTTGAGGGAAAGGTTTGGTTTGTTGATGATTTGAGTCTTACGACAGTAGAGGGACAGGCTAAGACAGGTTTTACTGTAGCAGACAGTGAGAAAGTTATCTATGCAGGACAACTAACATGTTTCATATTTGCTTGAGCAGCAGAGATGCTAGCTTTAACGGAAGCGTGTAAAGCTGCAGAGAGACAATATACACTGATAGGCAGTATGCATTTGCTACATTACATTTCTTTTTAGCGCAGTGAGTGAGACGAGGTGTGGCAACGTCTACAGGGAAACCTGTAGAACACGCCAAACTCTTGCAAAATCTGCTGGAGGCAGTGTTATTAACCAGTGGAATTGCCGCTTGTAAATGTGCAGCACACATGTGAGGGAAAGATCCAGTTGCATTAGGGAAGGTTTTTGCAGATAAGATCGCAAAAGAGGCAGCTTTAGTTGAACATGGTGTTAACATTTTAGCAGTACAACATCAGCAGACACGCAGGCCCACTCACCTACAGCAGGAAAGCGGTTGTGACTTACAGAAGGAGCGAGCTTGCAGGATGGTGTTTATTATCTGTGCGATAAACCAATACTGCCTAAGAATTTGTATAAGACTGCTGCTATTTTGAGCCATGGGCCGTGCCATTTCACAACAGCAGGGAGATGATGGGAGCAGTAGAGCAACATTTTCATACTCTAGGATTTAATACTTTAAAAAAAAATAATTTGCAGGTCATGTATGATATGTTGCAAGCACAATTCTCGGGGTAATTTGAGACTGAAGAGAGGGAAATTCCCCAGACCCAGTCACCCATTTCAAATTATTCACATGGACTGTATAGAGCTGTCCAACTGTAATAACTATAAGTACTGTCTAGTGATAGCGTGCCCTTTTTCAAAGTGGGTAGAAATCGTCCCAACTAGGAAAGCAGATGCCATTTTGGTGGCCAAAGCAATATATAAGAATATCATCCCGGAACATGGGATTCCAGAGACCATCGCTGACTGTCTTGTTTTCTTCATGATGAATAAGTCCCTAAACCAGCGGGGCTTGTGGAAACACAGACCCAACAATTGATGTCTTCTCTTATCAAGAAAACTTAAAACTTGTAGGTCCAAATTACACATGATTGAGCTAAAGAAAAAAAACTGTTACAAACTGAACCAACACAAGCTATTTCATTCTTACCACATCTAGTTCAGGGACCGCCTCCATCACCTCCACAAACTTCTCTATCTTTGTCTTCTCTGAAAACAAAAAGTCATCATCCACCCACAGAAAGTACTTGGTTGTTACCTGGGAAACAGCTAGATTTCTGCCTGCAAACCAGCCCTGAGAAGAAGAAAGAAACATCCTCTGTTCAAATTTATAAATTGGAATGGGACCCCGAGATTTACCTGGTTTGACTGGAATTGTACTTGATAAGTCTTCCAAGAACTGAATTGACATTTGCATGTCTTATATTCTATAAATATAATTTGAGTCCAAAATATTGCTAAAAACTCATAATTCTGAAATGAATGTGTGTGCATACCTGTGCTGGAGGCATGATGTAATGCTGGATGTTTTCTCCATTAACGCTTTCTGGTTGTAAACTGTCATCTGCAATAATCACTTTAATGTCACTATAGAATTTCCGGATGCTGTCCAACAACACCCTCAGTTGTTTGTAACGCAGAAAGGTCTTTGTGATGATGGTGACTTGAGAGCTGATATCTAACAGACAGAAGTATACAGAGAATAATTTTAAGAAAAGATGAACTGTTAATATGGCAGAGTAGCATTAAATTTCTGAGTCATTCAACCAAAGGAAATACTAATAAATGTATTTTTTTTTATAATTCTGGAAAAGCATGTGTGAGGATGAAAAATAAGTTAGATATAAAGATATAAAATCTGCCTGTTATTATGAAATAAATGAATTATTTCACACATGTTTTAGAGTCTTTCTGGAGCCTGCTAGGCATGGGGTCACAATACAGATATCAGATTAGAAAGATTCTCAGCATACTCTGAGTGAGCTTCGAGAAATTTCTAGCAAGAAAGTCCCAGTTCCCAGTTTGGAAGTGATTTCAGAAAATTCTCAGAGCAATTTGAGAAAAGACACAGCAAAAACTTTAAATGAAAGAAAGACAGTGGGTTGGAAGAGTAAATGCAGTATTAAATGCAGCATATTGCATTCTCTGGTTAGTCATTAAATAAATAAATAAAAATCCTACGATGTTTTGAAGTCTCGAAATATTACCCTTATGCTCACTTGATTTATAACCTCAGTAAACTTGTCCCTTAAAGTTTATGATTTTTTGTCTTATACAACAAATGTAAGGTTATTTTTGTAAATGTTGTTACTATTGTAGCAGATTTCGATTTTTACATGTCATTGGTCACATTCCTATTTCTTCTTTTTTGAAATGGAACTGAAGGCAAAGGAAGGAGGGCGGGAAAAAGAAAAGGCTTCAAGGACAAGAGGGGAGGAGTGGGGGCAGAATATATATATATGTATGTATGTATGTATGTGTATATATGTATGTATATATATATATGTATGTGTATAAAAAACACCCAGCACGCCCCTGCGGGCGGTTTATCCTTCAAGCTCGGGTCCTCTACCAGAGGCCTGGGAGCTTGAGGGTCCTGCGCAGTATCTTAGCTGTTCCCAGGACTGCGCTCTTCTGGACAGAGATCTCCGATGTTTTTCCCGGGATCTGCTGGAGCCACTCGCCTAGCTTGGGAGTCACCGCACCTAGTGCTCCGATTACCACGGGGACCTCCGTTACCTTCACCCTCCACATCCTCTCGAGCTCTTCTCTGAGCCCTTGGTATTTCTCCACCTTCTCGTGTTCCTTCTTCCTGATATTGCTGTCATTCGGAACCGCTACATCGATCACCACTTCTTCTGTTTGTCTACCACCACTATGTCCGGTTGGTTAGCCACCACCATTTTGTCCGTCTGTATCTGGAAGTCCCACAGGATCTTAGCTCGGTCATTCTCCACCACCCTTGGGGGCATCTCCCATTTTGACCTCGGGACTTCCAGGTTATACTCGGCACAGATGTTCCTGTACACTATGCCGGCCACTTGGTTATGGCGTTCCATGTATGCCTTGCCTGCTAGCATCTTGCACCCTGCTGTTATGTGCTGGATTGTCTCTGGGGCATCTTTACACAGCCTGCACCTGGGGTCTTGCCTGGTGTGATAGACCCCAGCCTCTATGGATCTTGTACTCAGAGCTTGTTCTTGTGCTGCCATGATTAGTGCCTCTGTGCTGTCTTTCAGTCCAGCTTTGTCCAGCCACTGGTAGGATTTCTGGATATCAGCCACCTCCTCTATCTGCCGGTGGTACATACCGTGCAGGGGCCTGTCCTTCCATGATGGTTCCTCGTCTCCCTCCTCTTTCTTGGGTTTCTGCTGCCTGAGGTATTCACTGAGCACTCGGTCAGTTGGGGCCATCTTCCCAATGTATTCTTGGATGTTCGTTGTCTCATCCTGGACTGTGGTGCTGACACTCACCAGTCCCCGGCCCCCTTCCTTCCGCTTAGCGTACAGCCTCAGGGTGCTGGACTTGGGGTGAAACCCTCCATGCATGGTAAGGAGCTTTCTTGTCTTTATGTCAGTGGCTTCTATCTCCTCCTTTGGCCAGCTTATTACCCCAGCAGGGTACCTGATCACGGGCAGGGCGTATGTGTTGATGGCCCGGATCTTGTTCTTACCATTCAGCTGACTCCTCAGGACTTGCCTGACCCTCTGCAGGTACTTGGTGGTTGCAGCCTTTCTAGCGGCCTCTTCATGGTTCCCATTTGCCTGCGGGATCCCCAGGTACTTGTAACTGTCCTCTATGTCTGCAATGTTGCCTTCTGGTAGTTCAATCCCCTCAGTTCTGACTACCTTCCCTCTCTTTGTTACCATCCGACTACACTTCTCCAGTCCGAACGACATTCCAATGTCATTGCTGTATAGCCTGGTAGTGTGGATCAGTGAATCGATGTCTCGTTCACTCTTGGCATACAGCTTAATGTCATCCATGTACAGGAGGTGGCTGACAACTGCTCCGTTCCGTAGTCGGTATCCGTAGCCAGTCTTGTTAATGATCTCACTGAGGGGGTTCAGGCCTATGCAGAACAGCAGTGGGGACAGAGCATCTCCTTGGTAGATCCCGCACTTGATGGTGACTTGTGCTATGGGCTTGGAGTTGGCCTCTAGTGTTGTACGCCACATCCCCATTGAGTTCCTGATGAAGGCTCTTAGGCCCCATTGATCTTGTACAATTCTAGGCATTCCAGTATCCAGCTGTGGGGCATTGAGTCATAGGCCTTCTTGTAATCAATCCAGGCAGTGCACAGGTTGGTCAGTCTGGTCTTGCAGTCTCGGCTGATTGTTCTGTCTACCAGTAGCTGGTGTTTTGCACCTCTGGTATTCTTGCCAATTCCTTTCTGTGTCCCGCTCATGTATTGACCCATGTGCCTGTTCATCTTAGCCGATATGATGCCTGACAGGAGCTTCCATGTAGTACTGAGGCAGGTTATTGGTCGGTAGTTGGAGGGGACCGGTCCCTTCTTGGGGTCCTTGGGGATCAGGACCGTCCGGCCTTCAGTTAGCCATTCCGGGTGTCTTTCGTTAACTAGTAGCTGGTTCATTTGTGCTGCCAGACGCTCGTGGAGTGCAGTCAGCTTCTTCAGCCAGTAGGCGTGAACCATGTCGGGCCCTGGTGCTGTCCAACTTTTCATACTGGAGACCCTTTCTTGGATATCTGCCACTGTGATGGTTACTGGACCCTGTTCAGGGAGGTCGCTGTGGTCTGCCCTCAGATCCTCTAGCCACTGAGCATTGCCGTTATGGGTTGCATCCTTCTCCCATATGCTCTTCCAGTATTGCTCCGTTTCCAGCCTTGGTGGTGCTATTCTCTTATTGTTCCCTTGCCACTGAGAGTACACACACATGTGTATATATATGTATATGTGTATGTGTATGTATATATGTATATATATATACACACACACACATATACACACGTGTATATATATATATATATATATATATATATATATATATATATATATATATATATATATATATGTGTGTATATGTGTATATATATATATATATATATACACGTGTGTATATGTGTGTGTGTGTATATATATATATGTGTGTGTGTGTATATATATATATATGTGTGTGTGTATATATATATATATATATATATATATATATACACATGTATATACATGTATCTGTATCTTTATCTTTTTACTATATCTTATAAACATTTTGCTCTTACTATTTTTGACTTACTATACTGCTGAGTGACTGTCTACTGCTCGTCAAATACATTTCATTGCAATGTTGACCCTGTGCTAACTTGCATATGACAAATAAAACTGAAACTGAAATTAAATGTATGTCACAGGAATATTGTAACTGCAAGCCCTCTTAAACTTAAACTTAGTCTGTGCTGTAAGTTGTTATCCACTCCGGCAAAATTTAGGTACACATCACAGCTCTTTATTGTGATAGGAAGGATATAAATAAAGTGTAAACTAAATGAATACAAAGAAATATAAAAGATAAGCCTAATAAAACAATAGACATTTAGCAAACATTGAGACCAATCCCTGTGTTGAAAATATTGCATCAGTGGATTTTTTCATGAGCAATCTCTGTTGGGCTTTCTTCACCACTGTGTTGATGAGGACAGGCTAATGTGTTAGTCCACAAAAGTCTGAAACACTTTCCAAGTCCCTGTTAATGAGTAATGTCTGAGTTACCTTTTCATTCTTCCTAAAATCCAACAAACACAAAGAGCTCTTTTGTCTTTGTTTGATTAAGAAACAGGTTCTCTGCACAACACTGCCAAACACAAGTTCCACCACCATGGTGTCGTCAGTGAACTTAACAATGGTGTTACTATGGTGAATGGGCGTGTAACCATGGGTGGAGAGGAGGGGATCATATATAACCCTCTGAGTATGATTCATCAAAAAGTGTTTTATCCAACAGCATGCAGTTTAAATAATAGTTAGTGACAGAGGGTGGTGTTATTAGAAGCAGAGCTAAAGCATGCATCCATGCTTATCTGCTTCTTCATATATGACAATGCAGTGACAGTGAAAATGCAAGTGCTACAGTCCTCGGTGTACTTATTTGCCCTGTAAGAAAATGTGTGTGCATTAAACGTGAAGGAAATGAATGACATAATATTACTCTGGACCAATTTCTTGAACCACTTCATAACCAGTTGAGTTTAGTCAGTGTTGATGGCTGGTAGACATTGAGGCAAGTTTTTTTTTTTTTATGCAGATGGACTATGATGGATTTCAGGCAGGGTGAGTTGGTGGGATATGATAGGGACTGATTGAAAATCTTGACAAAGACCCATGTCAGCTGGTCGAAATAGTTCTACCACACCATGCTATGATGTCTGCAAACACCTCACTTTAAGAATGGAGTTATGATATAGGCTTGGTATAGGATACCCATATCCAGAAGATTGCTCAAACTATATTATACTATTGTGAGGTCTTCTTGGTGATATTTATTAACTAATCAGTTACTAGTTTTTAACAAAGCATAGTGTTTAAGATACTTCCTAATGTGGAAACATCTAGGAGTGAAGAAGAAGAGGCTTAAGATTGTTTTTCTGAGAAAGGTAAGATAATGAGAAAATGACAGTAACTGAAGGAAATAATGATTTTGCATCAACATGTTCTTTGGATGCTGTTAATGCTCTTAACAGCATGCAATTAATATATTAAAGAAGCATTTTCCAACAATATATGTTGGATATATGTGTATATGTTGTGTATATGCTGCTGTTATTGTGTATATATTTATTTATATTTCTTCATACACTCTTATATAGTTCTATATTGTGTATTTTGTTGTACAGTTATTTTATTTTCAACTTTAATTTATATATTTTATCTTATTCTCCCAGTTAAATTTACCCTTCATTCTAATTTGTGTTGTACAGTTATTTCATTTTTAACCTTAATTTATATTTTATTCCTTCCTAGTTAATTTACCCTTTTTAATTTTTCATATTTATTTCCTATCTTATTCAGAGCCTTTTCCTTTTTTGTTTTCTTTAGGTCACGAGCAGTTGTCCAAGCATTTCACTACATATCGTACTGTGTATGACTGTGTACGTGACAAATAAAATTTGAATTTGAATTTGAATATTTAAATGAATATGGGCTTGAATATTAAGCGCTGATCAAGAATTCACTTCTACCTGTTCCCATGTCATACAGGACTGGTACATGAGGCTGCTGGATGGTAATGGGAAACACGGCTTCATAGTTTTCAAACTGGAAGGTGACTAAACAAAAAAAAAAAAATGTTTAGGTTCAGAACAAGGGGGACTCACTTTTTCTTTCACAGTTATTTTAAACATGCATTAATGATCATGTGTAAAATGCACATTATTTTGCAAATTCAATTGTCATTTAAAAATGGGTGTTTATAGCGCTTCACATTTCTGACACATACCAAGGTCTCCAGTGTTTATGTGGTAGATGGTGCTGGTATAGGACACTTTGGCCAGCAGGTCATTGAGGACCAACAGGCTGCTAGACTCAATAATCAGTTTCGTCTCTCCAGAACCTGTGAATTAAAACCAGACAATTTTAAAGTAATATAATACTGCTCGTCATTTCTCAGAAAGGGCTTATAATATAATAGGAGTAGTCTTTAATTCAGAGTAATTTATTCTGGCTAATTAGGAAAGTGTCATTCCTAATTAAATTATTCGCCCATCCATTCTCTTGCGCTTATCCTTATTGGGAGGTCGGGGTGGGTCGCCAGTCCGTCGCAGGTCTAACACATACAGACAACCATTGACACTCACATTCACAGGCAGTTAAGAATAACCAACTAACCTAACCTCAACCACTGCATGTGTTTGGATTCTGGGAGGGAGCCAGAGTAGACAAGAGAACCAGTGCAAACACAGAGAGAGCATGCACACTCCACACAAAAATACAGTAGATGGTGAAGATGAATTCAGGCCCTTCTTGTTGTGTATTTTGGGTTATAACAGGACCCGTAGCGGTCATGCCCAGATGCATTATGGGATAAAAAGCTTTAGGCTGTCGCTCGGGCTAGCTCCATGTTAAGTTATGCCGTTATAATAAATACCTCAAGTTACGTCGTGGTCATTGTTATACTGGTAACCCGGAGTGAAGATATAACAAAAGTGGCGACGAGGACGTCTGGACTGACGCTGCAGTCCGCTTGGAGTTTTACACTTTTTTTTCCTGCTGATGCCTCGTACTGACTTGGTGTTAGACGGCGCCGGAGGGAGGAATGTACAGCGGACAGGACGACGAAGGCAGACTCCGTAAGTGACGCTAACCAAAACATAAACGGGTAAAAGAGACGTTACGAAAAGGAACAGTTGTTAGGGGAAGAGTGCCATTCAACCAGGAGCCGAGTAATGGCTGGAGTTACTGGCCCTATCGGTCCCTTCGACGAAAGCACGGAGCAATGGAGCTCATATACGGAGCGTTTTGGATATTTCGTTGCGGCTAACGACATACAGGATGCTAAACTGGTGCCCATTTTTTTGAGTGTGATAGGCCCAAAGACTTTTACCCTGCTAAGGAGCCTGCTACAGCCAGCAAAGCCCGGCAATAAAAGTTTCACAGAGATCGTGGACACACTGACCAAACACTTCTCGCCCAAGCCCCTCGTGATCGCTGAACGGTTCAGGTTTCACAAGCGAAACCAAGAAGAGGGTGAGTCTGTCACAATGTTCGTTGCATCGTTACGCAAATTAGCTGAACACTGTGAGTTTAAAGATGTTTTAAATGACACATTAAGAGACAGACTCGTGTGTGGTTTAAGAAATGAAGCTGCACAGAAGAAATTGCTCACGGAAAGTGACTTGACTCTTGAGAAGGCAATTAATATCAGTGTGACCATGGAAATGGCATCAAAAGAAGCCCATGCGCTACATGCTACAGACAGAGTACACAAACTAGACAATGGTAAAGCAAATGCACAGGGACCATGCTTCCGCTGTGGCAAGTTAGGACACCTTGCTAGTGATTGCTGGTGCAAAGAAATGGATTCCAACAACTGTGGAAAAAAAGGTCATGTAGCACGGGCATGCAGGAACAAAAGGTGCAAGGATAAGGGCTCAAAGCCTGGGAATAAAAGAGGCACTGCAAGATTCAAAAAAGAAAGACATGTTCACACAGTTAAGCTTCATGAGGATAGAGCAAATGACTCCTCAGGTGAAGAAGTGTTGTCTGCAATAAATACTGTGCGAATACTGAAGGTGGATGAAACCTCAGATGGCTTTTGGGTCACGCCCAAACTGGAGGGACATGTTGTAAAAATGCAGATTGACACTGGGTCAAAAGCATCACTAGTGTCATATAATGTCTATAGGACATGTCTGAAGCACCGTCCACTCAAACCCTCCGACACAGTATTTAAAGGATATACTGGACATCGAGTGCCTATGAAAGGAATGGCAGAGGTGACTGTTCAATACAATGGCCAAACTGCTAAGCTGCCTGTGTATGTTACGCAGAAGAACTGCCCTGCTATAATGGGACGTGTGTGGCTCAAAACAATCAGACTCAACTGGCAAGGAGTGAGAAAGCTGTTGCATGGTTCCTCTCAGCTACAGGCCATACTGGGAAAACACCAGGAGGTTTTTCGTGAGGAACTGGGCAGCATGAAAAAAATTACAGTGAAGCTGCATCTCAAGCCTGACTCCAAGCCAGTCTTTATGAAGGCTAGACCTGTGCCGTACGCCATTCGGCCCAAGGTGGAGTCTAATTTAGACGCATTGGTCAAGAATGGTGTTCTGGAGCCGGTTACGACCAGCGAGTGGGCTACGCCCATCGTTCCAGTTCTTAAAAAGGACGGCGGAATCCGGATCTGCGGAGACTTCAAGGTATCCGTGAATCCTGTATTAACAGCAGAGCAGTATCCCCTTCCGCTGATTGATGACTTATTTGCTGGTCTGAGTGGAGGACAAAAGTTCAGCAAAATAGATCTCAACCAAGCTTACCTGCAAATGCACGTCGAAGAGCAGTCACGTGACATGTTGACTATTAACACACATAAGGGACTTTTCAGATTTTGCAGGTTGCCTTTTGGCATCACATCAGCTCCAGCATTGTTTCAACGAGCGATTGATCAAATCCTGAGGGGATTACCTGGTGTGCAATGCTATCTGGATGATATCCTGTGTACAGGAGCAGATGATGAAGAGCATCTGCGCAACTTGGATGCGACCCTTCAGAGGCTGAAGGAATACGGATTGAGAGTCCGTAAGGAGAAATGTGACTTTTTCCAGTCATCTGTGGAATATCTAGGGCACGTGATTGATGAAAATGGACTTCACACTGCACCTTCGAAGATCACAGCAATCGTGGATGCACCCCCACCACGAAATGTCAGTCAGTTAAAGTCTTTCTTAGGGCTGTTGAACTACTACGGACGGTTCATACCCAACTTGGCATCACTCCTGAAACCACTGCACAACCTGCTACGCAAGGAAGAAGCATGGGAGTGGACAGCAAGCTGCCAAGAGGCCTTTCAAAAGGCAAAGGATTCACTGACTGCATCTGAGGTGCTAACCCACTTCAATCCCAAGTTCCCAATTCAGCTTGCTTGTGATGCTTCTCCCTATGGGGTGGGGGCAGTGATTTCCCACATTCTCCCAAATGGCGAAGAAAGGCCAATTGCATTCCCATCAAGGACATTATCCAAGGACGTTGATCCAAGATGGCGCCGCGTAAGGATGCCCTGGTGCTTCAGTGCGTTACTTTTGTTTTGTTTTTGTGCATAACTTCTGTGTCTGGGCACTCCTCTGGATATTCTTACACCAGAGAAGAGCTTCTTAACTACAGGACTACAACACCTGTGGATTTACTTCCAATATTTGTCGCATCTGCGGCAGATTTACTGCAGACTCTGATCAGGAAAGTGAGACGCCGAAAGAGAGGTAAGCGAGCCGGCGCACTCGTGCGTCTGAGGAGACGTGGACTGCGAACTGCTCTTCCTGGGATCTTCCTTTCCAATGTACGCTCACTCAGGAATAAAATAGACGAGCTGGCCCTGATTAGAAGCATGAACAGAGACTTTGCCTCCTCCTGTGTCTTATGTTTTACGGAGTCGTGGCTCTGTGAGGACATCCCGGACAGCGCGCTCAAGCTGGAGGGCTTTCATTTGCTGCGCGCGGACCGGCAGGCCTCTCTCTCTGGTAAGACCAAAGGTGGAGGTGTCTGCTTCTACATTAATAGTGGCTGGTGCACAGATGTAACAGTGATTGCTCAGCACTGCTCTTCCTCTCTGGAATACCTTTTTATTCACTGCAAACCGTTTTATTCTCCGCGGGAGTTTGCTTCATTCATCCTGGCCGCTGTTTACATCCCGCCAGATGCAGATGCGCAGGCAGCTCAGTGCGCACTCGCAGAGCAGATACTGCACATGGAGCGGACATTCCCGGACTCTCTCATTATTGCTCTTGGGGACTTTAACAAAGCCAATCTGAGCCATGAGCTTCCCAAATACAAGCAGTATATTAAATGCCCGACCAGAGAGGAGAGGACATTAGACCACTGTTACAGCACGATCAGCGGGGCCTATCGTGCGGTGCCCCGCGCTTCACTCGGACTTTCTGACCACGTCATGATCCACCTAATCCCCGCATACAGACAGAGGCTGAAGCTCTCCAAACCTGTCGTGAGGACCAAAAAACTGGAGCAACGAGGCTGTGGAGGAGCTTCGCACGTGTTTGGAGTCTACAGACTGGGACACAATGAAGGCTGCTTCTAACAGCTTGGACGAGTTTACGGACACTGTCACCTCCTATATCCACTTCTGTGAGGACAGCATTGTGCCATCACGCACCAGGGTGAGTTATAACAATGACAAACCCTGGTTTACTCCTAAACTCAAAAAGCTGTGGCTGGAAAAGAGAAAGGCGTTCAGAAGCGGAGACAGGGACTGCTACAGAGAGGCCAAGTACAGGTTCACTAAAGAAGTGGACATTGCTAAACATCAGCACTCTGAGAAGATGCAGCAGCAGATCTCAGAGAATGACTCGGCCTCTGTGTGGAAAGGTTTTAGGAATATCACCAACTACAAGCCTAAAACCCCCCACTCCACTGACGACTTGCTCTTGGCCAACACCCTCAACGACTTTTACTGCCGTTTTGACGAGCCATCAGGCAGCCTTCACACCTCCAACGGCCCCAACAATAGAGACACTTTGGACACTCATTCCCCCACCTCTCCCCCCTCCATAGAGCCATCACCACCTTCAAACTGTTCACCTACAACACCCCCCTCCTCACCCCACACAAAAGAGGATTTCACACCACCTCCTCCCACCACAACTCTTCATATTCGTGAAGCAGGTGTGAGGAAGCAGTTTAAGAGTCTGAATGCTCGAAAAGCTCCCGGCCCAGACGGTGTGTCTCCTGCCACCCTCAGACACTGTGCAAACGAGCTGGCCCCAGTGTTTTCTGGCATTTTCAACTCCTCACTGCAGGCATGTCATGTGCCTGCCTGCTTCAAGTCCTCTACCATAATCCCTGTCCCCAAGAAACCTAGGATCACTGGACTAAATGACTACAGAC